ATTGGTGGTCAACACATTCACAGGTATGATGTATACCATTGCCGGAGCTGGTTAATTCAAACCTTATGACTCCTGGAAAACCGGATACATCATACACAGATCGAATGGCCCTGAAATATCTTGACCAATGACAGTAGTGACTGAATCCTGCGACAAACCCCGGACGCCTTGAAATTCGATCTGGGAAATCTGATGGGCTAGTGGTCTGAAATTTCGTTTTTCCATCGATCATCTGCCCAAGTCCAACATTTTTTGACATTTTTTTATTTCTCCCTCTTCCTGCTTCCATGCTTAAATTAATCGCGGTAGTAGGTGCTACTGGCCAGTAAGTCGCAGATCCCGAAAAACATCATATCCTGCTCGAAACATTGAAAGCTGATGTCTTTTGTAGACAAGGTAGTTCCGTGGTCGACTTCCTCTTGAAGGAACCACAAAACTTCAAAGTCCGTGGTCTGACTCGTAATCCCGAGTCACCTGCTGCAAAAACACTGGCTGATAAGGGTGTGGAAGTTGTAAAAGCTGAACTCGATAACCTCGACGAAGTAATTTCCGCCTTTACTGGTGCATGGGGAGTATTCGGCTTGACGCAATTCTACGAGCACGGATACGAGAAGGAACAACTTCACGGAAAGAACATCGTTGATGCCGCCAAAGCGGCTGGTGTGAAACACGTCGTATTCAGCACTGTGGAGGGACGAGAAGGAGAATGCAAGGCTATTAGCTGGACATCCAAAGCTCAAATAGAGGACAGGATAATTGAATCCGGAATCCCCTATACCTTCATATACATTCCGATGTATTATGAAAATTTCTGGACGAGTTTCTTCGCGCCAAGTTACGATGAAGAGAAAGGCTTCACATGGGCCATAGGTTTTATGCCCGATATCCCGATTTTTGCCTTTTCTGTTGAAGACCTAGGTGCATGGGTGCTTCCGGCCTTCAGGGAGCCAGAGAAATGGATTGGTGAGTCGAATTTCTAGCTTCATCCTTCGAGATCTTTATCGATCATCCTCCTCTTCAAGGCAAACAGATCAAACTCGTCACCGAATACCTTTCCATCCGCGACCTTGCGACACAGTTCAGCGAAGTTACTGGGGAGAAAGCTGCCGTCGCCTTTGAAATGACCCGGGAGCAGTTCGAGGCCTCGCGGTACGCCGACCATCCCTCCGCGGAGTTCATGTACCTCTCTTGGGAATACGTTATCCGAGCTGGTCCAGATAGTGGAGTCAGGGTATGTTTCACAAAAACGCTATACGTACCGGGTTTGACGCGTTGGTCATTTGGCAGAGTCAAGAACAAACTCTTTCCATCTATCCACAGGCCAAGAAATACAAGGACTGGGTGAAAGACAGTGTCCTTGTGAAGAACCTAGTCGCGAAGTTGAAGAAGGAAGCTTCTGAGAAAGTCTGCATAACTTGATGAACAAATTGTCGCAAGAAGACCCTATGTTATCTCCAATAAACACTGCTATTCCTGACCCTGAAGTGATACTTTGAATTTCGGGTGCGGGCTTCGAGTGAATGGGCGAAAGTCAACAAGATCCTTGAAGGTAGGGTTAAGGTTGGGACTCCGAATTGAATGACATGACGTTGTGTTATCGGTTTCTTCTCCCTCATTCACTATGTCCTCAACAACCGGCGCAACCGCTCAAGTGAGTGCTTTTATCTTGGCGAATTCAGTTCCACCCCCAACTCAGTCAAATCAACAGGATGGTGCATGGAAATCTAAAGAACAGGGAGACGAAGCGCGTTATGCTCATGATAAGGTCGGTCAGGGTTTCCATTAACCACACTTGGCATTGCAGTCGTGATACCTGGTTATCAGGAACAAGCACAATTTGCTGCTCTACGCGATCAGCTCGCGGATAAAGAAAAGACAGAGGCTTCGAAGGTAAAAGATTTTGAGGGTGGTTATGGTGGTCAAGAGGATTTAGAGGATCGATACGCAACGACGAGTGGGGACCATTGAATGTCCCTTAGATGTTGTACGTGATATTTGTTCCCACGTCGATGCTCCGATACAGACTCTCGTTGCCAGATCTAATCTTAACATGAAACTTACCTCAATGAACGTTACACCTATATGAAGCTGCGCCAGCCAGTATGCGTACGATCGCGAATGATACGAAGTTTTTTCTATCGATGTTGTTCTCCCGACTCAGAAGTTGCCCGGAAACATCACTTAATCGCTTTGAACTTAGGATTGACCGATTTTTACCCTGCCTGTCGAAGGCGGGAGCGAGCGATCCAGGCTCCCCTGAGCCACAGAAAGTGGGGTAATTCAAGGTGGTGTGTCATACGTTCTTCCTTCTTTCTGTACACAAACTACTTACGGAGAACTTCATGTAGAGGTTGCGCCTAGTGAACTGGAGCTACTGACTTTGACGGTCGCCAGTGGCTGACGATTGTAAGCACTCTCCACGAGTGACGATTGCATCGACACCTTATATACGTAGCGATACATCATTCCGGGTGCTGTATGAACGAACAGGCTGCGACGGGACTTCTTGACACCCTCGAGCTCGGGACGGTTCTCGCTTGGATCCCATGTGGAGTTGGCAGAGATACGGCCTTGCCGAGGGTCATCAAGCAATGAGAAAATTGATTAGAGCCTACTTATTTGCAACCGCCAAAAATGACGATTTTTCGGACTAGTACTCCGTAAATCCGCAGCAAAAAGAGAAAATGTGTTACCTTGGTGGGGCGGAAAACTCTGAAAGTTGGCTCAGAAATCAGAAATAAAAAAAAACGCGTTGCAAATATGATCTATTTTGGGAACGTTCATACGCATACTCAACGTTCACGTCGTGTCTACATTATTTGATGTTAGACTGCAGTATTAACTCCTGCTGAAGGCGAGGCAAACAAGAAGCTCAGTAGCTTACATTTCGAAGATTCAATCACCCTGTCAAGGCAAAGTTAATGATTGAGCCATTAAAAGATACGGCGGAGAACAAGTGGAAGTAGCCCTGGACAGGGTCAGAGAGGTCTCTGGAAGGACTAGCGCTCGCTTTCGATTCTCGCAGGGTCGGTCTGCGACAACGCACGCGACAAATCTCTATCCTAATTTCTGAGTGTTCAGGTCGCCACTCGCCAGACTAGCGAAGAGGTCATGAAGGGTGTTTATAGAGATCATAGGAAGGTAGTGAATATACATTCAAGTAAATTGTATTCATACGGGTAATCTTCTGCACATGACTTAGTCGTAGAAGAGACACAGGATTGCCGCTCGTCTCATAGAAGATGACGGAAGTTCGAACCGGGTAACTTGCTCCGGAGGCCAGTGGTTTATCATCACAGTATAGCTCTGCAGACAAACAAGTCCTAGTGACTCACTAAGTTCATTCAGTGAAGTATTGAACAAGCAGTGGAAATCGTTTGCGATAGCAAGCCTCTCCAAGCTCGGCAAGTCGGTCGTTCGAACCAAACCAAGCAAGTCCCAATAATCGCTGTAGATAGTCAACTTCAGCTTCCTCAAAACAGGGAGCGTGTAACGTTGCAAAGTAGAACTGTCGCGAACCAAAGCCAAAGTCCAGGGGCTTCACACAAAGGTCGTTTAAAGTGTTGGCATTGAGCATGTTGTGGAACGGCTGGAATTCAGGACCGAGGAGTGCTTGGAAACACAAAGAGGTGAGTTTGGTGGTGGAAAAAGTCTCCCATTCGAACGGGATGCCCTGTAGGGTAACCTCCTGGAGGTTCGGGAAAATTCAAAGTTGTAGTACCTCTTTTCATTGACGTGCGAGATGTCGGTTTCCGGAGCATCAAGGAGAGAAATGAAGACGTCTTCTCGAGCAGGATGATCTCTAGACTAGGTAGCGGTGGGAGGTACCGCAGATCAACACGCTGCAGGCTTGGAAGCGTGGTGCGTACAAGTCTGCAAGGAACTAGCGAGGTGGAGGAGCCCGTTTCCAATACGTCACGGAAGATTCGTATAATGAGTTCGACAGGTAGAGGCGGGATGGACTGGAGGTTGGCTGGAGGGGCTCATGTGAAGCTGGGGAGTAAAGTTAGTTTGCAAAGAAACCGATGAGTAACATTGACTCACCAAATTTCAGAAATTCAAAAAAAGTAAGATTGTCGGCGTCAGAAAGGACTTGCGGGGAATCAAGGTTGGCGCCAACATTTTATAGCAAATCAGCCAGGCTTGAACGTTTTGAACAATGAACTTGAAGCTTTCTATGACTCAAATGATAACAGGAGCGGCATACCACAAATTACCACCTACAATGTAACGCAAGGCCACCTGTAGCTCATATTTTCTGAAGCAGTCGGCTGGCGACTTGTAGCTGAGATCAAACATGAGATCAATCATAAGTCCTCTTCCCTATCAACAGGAGGAAGATCCGTTAATATTGACTGGGTTAACACACCCAGAAACTTACCGGTGGTTCCCGGATCGTCTAGCTTCAGGTTTACATCCTCCCAGCACCCGCAATCGGTCATAGCCGCTCCAAATTGGTGTATACTGGACCTCTTTGGCTTCATCAACTTACAGATATTGCCGACCACCACCCATGGCCACGGGTGGTTGCAAGAATCAGTTCAAAGAGACGGTCGGCTTGGATCAAGTGCGAGCTCCAAGTTCTCGATTCCGGCGGATTTGAGATAACTGGAGGAGACTACGACGTTGTACGAAAGTCTGCCTGCCTGCATATGAGTCTATGATATTAGCTTAGTCCCATCAATTAGAGAGTGTTCAATATCGAGCTATCCCAAAATTAAACGGAAAACGCACCCTGCAAGAGTTAAAAAGCAGCGAGCACGGATTTGGCCGGCTATCGAACTCATCCGATACAATGATCCCATATCCAAGTCGTCATGATCGTCGCCGATGAAAAGAATGTCACATCCCGTTGCGCACGCGAAATTCTCGTTTTTTTTTTTTGAAGACGACCATTAAGCGATAATCAAAAGTTAAACACTATAGACACAATGACCGGGGTGGTGTGCCCCCCCCCAATTGGACAAAAGAAAAACATAAAACAACAATAAATCTTAAACCTCCCTGGCTGGGAGTCGAACCCAGCTTTCGCGCGTCCGACAAAATACGATGACAGGCGCGTGTACTAACCGATATACTACCAGGGACCTGTAGGTTTACTGCAATATTGATATATACCAGCCAATCAAGTAGTGCCGGACTAAAACCATCCTATTCGGAGGTTAAGCAGCTTGGTCTCCTGTCTCGTACGCAGTTCGCCTCCTGTATAGCGGCTAGCCGCGTTTACGAATCGTTGCCCGCATTTCACACATCATTGCCCGTTGTGCGAGAAGCGTGCCCTTTGGAAGGTTTGTCGGTGAAAGAAGGCAGTTTAAAGGGTACCGAGACGGTGTAAGTATGCCAGAGCAGGTCCGCCGCATTCGGGGTAGGTCATAAGAAGCTGTTCACGGTCTCCAAGGCTTTTCAGGGCCGCAGTGACACTAGAGATAGTTGTTTTGGCGGGCTTGATATCGACACCTTGGAAATGCGGTACGACGCGGTCTAGTTGTGCCGCTATAAGGGACGAAAATAACCAAGGAAAGCCCAGAAATAGGACACCTGCGACAGAATTAAAGCCAAGCTGCGGGAAGATCTGATGTCTACGTTTATCGGAGCTCCCTCCACTCTAAAAGTTTCTTGATCAGTCTTGGTGGACGATTGTCGATGATCGTGCACAGCCATGGATATGTCGAACCGAATGTTTTGAACCAAACCGAACCAGTTGCTTGGGCGTAAGAGAAGAGAGATTTATTCACAGACTGTCAGAATTTAGGATTTTGTGAAGCTCAAGCTAGAGTCTTTTGAGAGGTCAAATGATGTTGAAACTTGACATCAGCGTGCTTATGTACCGTACAGTAATTTTAAACCGATCCGCCAGTGAGTTTGGACTGGTTTGAGTACATCCCCGGTTTGGCTATACATACCCAAGTCTTTCTTGTTCCTCTACCACCACCTCCTCTTTCCACAGAGTCTGCCTGTGGTATGTTCTTATATTTTTCTCCGTATTCCATTCTCTCACTTCAATTCTCCTCTACCTTCCGTTCCCTAGCTCTCAAGCATGGCTCAACCCAACAGGCCTCTAGACAATGTATCTTACGATCCTCTTCCCTTAGAACATCCCCCTTCTCCTCTTCCCGGCGCTTCATTCCACGACAGCCCGAGTACACGCTCATTAGATCTTCCGGGAGATGATTTGGGTCTACCAGAAGGTGCTGCAGCACCTCGTTTCCTTGGCCAGGCGTTATATCAAGATGGTCCCACCCGAAACTCCTATGCTTCATCACACCAAACCCTCCCTTCACAATCAGAATATTCTTCCTCTGTATACGCCTTGAACGATCCCCAATCTCTTTCCAACTACGAGGGTCAATATCGAGACGATCCCCACGACGTCACTGGGGACTCTGGAGTGCCGATGTCCCCTATGGGTCGAAGTCGACAACTGTCCGAGAAACGTGCCGTCTACGCTTCCCCAAAGTCAAAACGCAAGGTTATGATCTTTGCGGGTATCGCCGCTCTCATTCTCATCCTCCTCGCCATCATCATTCCTGTCTACTTCGCCGTTATAAAGTCTAGTAGCAACAATGCAGCGTCGGGCAATTCTTCCAGTAGTTCAGGTGGTGGAGGAGGGAATGGTGGCGGTGGTAACAAAGGTAGCACGGGCACGGTGGCCGCCGTTACCGGAGGAGATGGAAGTGAAGTCACGCTCGAGGATGGAACCAAGTTTAAATATTCTAATCCTTTCGGTGGACGCTGGTACTACGACGTCAATGATCCTTTCAATAATGGTGCTAGAGCTCAGTCATGGACACCCGCACTCAACGAAACCTTTGATCACAATGCCAACAGAGTCAGGGGGTAAGCCCTTTTTTTTTTTTTTTGCAGACAAGTCTATTTTACGTACTAATCAAAATCTTCTTTTAGTGTTAATCTTGGTGGTTGGTTTACAATAGAACCCGTAAGCAACTTTGTTTTTGACTTACTCCACAAAACTGACTGGTACTATGTAGTTCATGCAAGTCGCGCTCTTCTCATGGCACGTGTCGTAATCGACTGACTGCATGTTCTTGATACAGCGTTCCTGCTCTGTTCGAAAAGTATGCAAACTCCACCCCCATCCCCATCGACGAGTGGACACTTTCTACCGCTATGGCAGCTGATACAAATAATGGCGGGCTTAACCAAATCGAAGACCATTACAAAACGTTCATTGTGAGTATCTATCGTTGTACTGGACGAATCAGTGTCCTGAGTTTTATCTAGACGGAGCAAGATTTCGCCGAAATCGCTGCTGCTGGCCTGAACTACGTCCGTATACCGATTCCTTATTGGTTCATCGAGACGTGGCCTGGTGAACCTTTCCTTGCAAAGGTCGGCTGGAAATATTTTTTGAAAGCGCTCGGTTGGGCACGCAAATACGGTATCCGTGTCAATCTTGATTTCCATGCCGTTCCAGGTAGTCAGAATGGTTGGAATCACTCTGGTAGGCTGGGTGAAATCAACATGCTTCGCGGTGTTATGGGCTTGGCAAACGCACAACGCACTCTCGACTACATCCGCATTCTAGCCGAGTTCATATCTCAACCTCAGTACCGCGACGTCGTTACCATGTTCGGTATTCTCAATGAACCGCGAGGTATCTTGATGGGTGAGGATGTCGTTTTTGGATTGTGAGTAATCAATGCTTTCGCCATTACATACGACGGATCTGATGCCTGTGTCCTTTTTGTTCGACAGCTATGCTGAAGCGTACAGGATCGTTCGTCAAGCTAGCGGTGTTGGGAAAGGACCATGGATATCATACCACGATGCTTTCTTCTCCCGAAACGATTTCAAAGGTTACCTACCCAACGCCGATTCAATTGCCCTCGACAGCCATCCTTACATCGCGTTCGGGGGCCAATCTGCCGATGGCTGGGGTACGCGAACTGGTGCACCATGCGGTTGGGGTAAAGACGTTAACCAGTCTATGTCTGACTTTGGTTTGACTGTTGCCGGCGAGTTCAGCAATGCCATCAACGACTGTGGGTTATGGGTCAATGGCGTCGGACAGGGCATTCGATATGAAGGGAATTTCGTCGCCGATCCATCCTTCCCTCGCATTGGAGACTGCACGCAGTGGACAGATTGGACAAAATTCACCGATGACACCAAGAATCAGATTAAGCAGTTTGCCATGGCCAGTATGGACGGGCTTTACGTATGATATATTTCTTTTGTCTCTATGATCGGGGTTGCTCATAATGCCTTTTTTCAGAACTACTTCTTCTGGACGTGGAAAATAGGTGATTCAATTGCTTCCGGAAGAGTGGAATCCCCGGCTTGGTCGTACAAGCTTGGTTATGAAAATGGATGGATGCCGAAGGACTCTCGCGAGGCCGATGGTTTTTGCGGCAACACTAATCCGTTCACTGGTACGCTCACTAACGGAAACGGTCAAGTCAACGTCGCACAATACGCTTGGCCTCCTGCATCGATCATGGAAGGTGGTATAGCTTCTAACCTTCCTTCATACACAACCACCGGCGCTATCCCTACACTTACCGGCGCGACGCTGACTGTTTCCGGTCTGAAGCCCACAAAAACGGTGGATATTGGTAACGGATGGGCAAATGCCAATGATAATGCTGGAGCGATGATCATGATTTCTGGATGCAACTATCCAGATCCTTGGGTCGGTAGCAATGGTTCAGTACCCACGCCTTGGTGTGCCACGCGTGCACAGAAGCGAAAGGAACCGGCTTTTATGATTCGCGAGCCCACACCCACTCCGACTTCATGAGTTCTGTTTTGCGATGCTCCCCACATTTATGTGTTCCTCCCATCTCTCCATCCCCCTTGCATCCTCAACGTTATAGCGTAGCTATCCACTCACGACCCACTACATTAGTCGCTATATTTCTTTTTATTCTTGTTTCTCTTTATTTTAGTTGGTTGGACTTGAGCTCGACACACCATCTTTTAAAGTCACAGATACCGTTGCCACGTTGTCAACTACACCCACGCCCTCCCACTCCGCATACACACCTGCACACACCCACGGTCATTACAAGACGGACAGACATTGGTTGCCTTCATTTGCACAGTTTTGGTTGTTTTTTGGTTGTTTTTTGTTCTTGAGACACATATATCGTATCAATGGCACATATACGTGCGCAACATTAATATCGTATTTGTAGCGCAATGGATATAACTTCATTTATTTTGTGGCCGGTTCTTCTGTGCGGTAACTGCGCTGTTGTTATCTTTAGAACCTTCGATGATTGAGCGTCGCGCTCAACATCAGGTTAAATGGGAAAGAGGGTTACAAGTTGTACTAATAATACACCCAGCTAGGTACTATGCGATACACGTTCAAGAAAAGATTAGTTTGTAGCCCTCTAAATATATCCCATACACTGTTTTTTTTTTCTTTTCCCCGGCGGTCGCCACACATGCTGTCACTGTGTCTGCGCATTGTTATTGAATCCAGCGTTCGTTTGCTGACCGGCCTGTTGCTGCTGCTGTTGCTGCTGATGATGTTGTTGCTGCTGCTGCTGATGTTGTTGCTGCTGATGTTGCTGATGTTGATACTGCACAAAGAGGAGAATATTAGCCCCACGAACGATAATAAATGACAGGAAACGCGTACCATCTGCATCATCAACATTTGTATTTGTTCTGGAGAGTACGTCGCTACATTTTGTAAATAATAATGTCCTTGCATGTTTGTACTTCGAGGAATCCCCATTGCTCCAATCGAACCATTCTGTTGCGGTTGCTGAACAGACTGAGTCTGTGGTTGAGTAGGTGCAGAGTTGACTGAGACGGGCGTGGCTGAAGTCCGTGAAGGAGGAGGGGAAGTGTGTGCAGGTGAAGATGTGGAATCTCGAGACGCAGCAGCAACAGCGTTGTATGCGGGAGGTAAATGTGGATTTTGAACTACACCACCACTTGTACCATTAACAATCGGAGCAGCCGTAGACATCCCCCCTCCGTTAGCGGTAGCAGCAGCAGCAGCAGTTGCAGCATTTTGCGCTTGCATCTGTGCCAAGGCTGCAGCGAGTGCCTGCTGCTGCAGATGTTGTTGCTGTTGTTGAGTCTGAGGTTGCTGAGGTCGAGCTTGTTG